CAAATAGTGTAAAATACTGATACCATGAAGATTCAACAAACTCTCTGCTCATTCATTCGCTTTAGTAGTAAATATAATAGAAACACATAATGTTCTAAGTGGGTAAAGTTCTGGTAGCAGGATAAAATTAACATATGCACCAATCTGCAGTTCAACTTTATCCTTGAATTGAATATCACTAAACTTAGCTTATGTTCTTTCTCGCATTGAAATTTAGAACTCTCCGTAGGTGGCGAAAGATCTCGAATAATCTCAAAATCTATTCCCTTCAGGAAGAAATTGTGTTCTTATCGTTTCTCAACTTTAATGAGCTCTTCTTTATCTTTTTTATTGACTGTAAGTGCTTTTTGATGTCGTATTTACCATCTCTTCAGGTTTTTATGCCAAACATAAAATGACTTAATTGATAGTCTTGTCACCTGCCATATTGAACACTCCAATCATAAATAGAAACTACATTAGACAATATTTAATCAATGTAGGTACCGGAATAAATAGAAACAAGACTTTGTTGAGTTATCAAAATATTCATATAATCATCAAAGTCACCTGTATGATTGTAGATGCAGTGTGGTGAAACATTGAGTCATTTGACTTCAGAGATTGAAATGATGTTCTTGCAACAATACTCATGAATAACAAGTTTCTTATTGTTATCTCCACAACAAACTAGAGTTCGAAAATTTAGAGGACACTTCTAATCTTTTCTTCACTTAACTACTTGATTGTGCTTAGCTACAACTAAAAAAGACTTGCTAATTTTTCGTGCTCTAGATAATGACTTATTCTCTTCTTTAGGGATCCACATGTTTAAAATTTTTCTATCGCGCTAATTTTTATGAAAAGAACTGGAAAAATAAGAAGAGTAGGCAAAAATACTTGGAAATTATTCTGAACTACTGAAAACAGGTTAGAAGCGGTTTTGTTTAGGTTAATTGGTTTGGGGAAATCCTGTTAAAGAAAATCAAAACAGAGCATGACTTTGCAATGCCCACTCATGGATCATGCGCATGAGGGTGCCACATGCCTTCTGCTCATCGAACAACATCAGGGTTTTGATAATGGGATCTACTTCTGGTGGTGGTTGTAGATTGAGTAGTAGTGTGAAACACGATTTTGGAAAAGGACGGGATATAGAGAGGCAGTGGTTGGGAGAGCTTGCAAAGGCCGATGGTGCATTTTTTGCAGCAGTTATTTGGGGCTTTGTCGAGTGGGATCTTAGATGGGTGGTAGGACCGGTGTCACCGTTTGCACGGTGGTGTCTAGTGAATGGACTCACAAAGGAGGCTGCTTGGATATGGAGTTTGATTTTTTGAGTGTAGGATCTTTTTTAATTGTAATATCAACTAATAGACAAAATTAGACTTAATGTGTCTACTTAGGGATTTGGGGATAAAATCCTATATATCACCTTTTTTTGAAATAAAAATCCTATATATCACACCAAAGGTTTCTTTACATATAACATCCAATAATTGAAATCTGTCAACCTGTATACAAAAGCTTTCCTATTCTATCAATATATCCATCAATTCTCTTAAACTAAGGATTGACATGTAAAGAGATTAACCCTATTTAGTAAAGATTACTTAAGAATAACAATGCTAATGGAATTATGAAATAATACTACTAATACAAATAGGAACTGAATACTGTTAAAAATAAAATCATAAGGTTACTAAAATTTTAATAATATGCTCATAAATAGTATAAGTAATTTTATGTTTAATAAATAATATAGTAGTTCCATATTTAGTAGAATTATGATTTCTAATTTATTTAGTTATTTAGAGCTAATCCATTATGCATCAAAAAGTTCTGTAAAGAATAAAAAAATTAGAGATTGTCAAACTAAACCAAAAACAGGGAACTACCCAAATTTCCATAGTCAAGCTCTTAAAACACCTTTCAACCAGTGAAAAGGTCCATAATTAGATAAAATAAGATGCAAGCTTTGGCATTTACAACAGTTTTTTCCTCCTTGATCTACAAGGTACTATGTTGTAAGGATCTTATTCAAAGCACTAACTTACATAGAGAAACTTTATGGGTGACTTGGCATGTGGACTTACCCTTGAATCTCAAACAGATTAACATAGCTGGACTTTTTTTGACATTTATATTTTTACAGGAACTAAATCAGATTTTTTTCTAACAGGAATTATGTGCAAAATATTAGTATTTTGCTTTAAGGAGGTGAATTGATGTGTATTCAGTAGTAACTTGTTTGCTTGGATCTTTAGCTGATTGGAATCTCACTCCATTTCCTTATGTCAACTCCCCTTGGATAGAAAAAGAGGAAAAGAGTTAATATGGTTTCACTTTAGGGTAGACCACCTTTTATAATGTGTGTTACATGTGTTCTATGTATGTCTGGTTTTTGGTACTATCAGTTTTTCTTCATCATGCTATATTCTTGATTCTCCATTTTCAGGTTCTACCAGGAAGGATGCTTGAGTTTCTTGATGCACCAGTTCCATTTATTGTGAGTTTTATATGGAACTTACACTTGTCAAAAACTTCGTAGTTTCCTGTGAGCTAGAGCTTTAACATTGTGCGCTATATTTGATTCATGATTTTGTCCACAGACTGGGTAGCCTCTTGCTGCATGGATAATCAACCAATCATAAATGTTTCACCAGCATATCATCCCAAATTTCATGAATTCAGTTCAATAGTATTATTTTTTAGATTAAAATTTATAGAAAATGTACTTGATGTATCATTGTAAGGTATATTTTGATTTGTTTGATCAACGGCATGGAAAAGTTTAGAGTTCTATCGTGCATTTTTCTATTTTTCACCTTCGGTTGATAGGACCTGTATATGGAATGGTCTAATCAGCATAGTTGGTGAACTGACTAGTATGACAAAGTAGAAAAGAGTAATCACACCTAGATACTAGGGAAATAGGAAATAAACGAGTCAAAAAGGCACCTGCAATATAAAATATTTAAAGATGTTCACATTTTATTCAGAATTAGTATTTAGTAATTTAAATAAATATGGGATGCTGGAAATGAAACTACGAAGTTGTAATACAGAACAGCCAAGCTGATATAGAGATTGCCAAAAATATTGTAATGGGTTTAAAATTATTTTCCCTATACCAGAATTAACCTGATATTTTGAAAAAAGTTTAGAACAGTTGATGTAGATGAGTCAGAAAGAGTGGGAAACCAAATTGATATAACAGCTGGCAAAGAGTAGGAAACCATAGACAATCCAACAAACAGTTAGTGCAAGTACTAGAATGCTGTCTTGTAAAGCACGCTGAATGTTGGAGTAAGAATTAACTCTGTTATGAGCTAGGCTAAATCTTTTAGGGCTTTGGCTTGGCTTTTAGACAGTCCTGGTCTTCTTTCTCAGTTTAGTTTACTTGTTGAATTAACTATATGAAGAAAGCTGTAAGTTTATTCCATAGGTTTCTTCTATACTATTATATTATTTATAGGGTTGGATACCAAATGAGTATCCCCCCCAAAAAAAGACAGAAAATATTCTTCTAAAAGCTGTATGAAAATATCCTGTTTTTTTTCTCCTAAATTTTCTGCTGATATTTCTAGATATTTGTTCCCCTGGATTTTCTCCTAACTTGCACTTCCCCTCAAGTTAGGCATAGATGTTGAGCATGCCAAGGTTGGAGCTCAAGTCCTCAAATGATAACAGTACTTCGCAGCAGGCACAAATGATTCTTGGTAGTTAATACCATATGATTGTGTGAACCCTTTAGCAACTGGTCGAACTTTTCGTGTCAACTCTCTCATCAGCTTTATATCACAGTGAAGACTTGCAACTTACTGTCCGTTTTTTTCTAGTAATTTTTTAAGTTCCCATATACCATTTTCTTTATGGCC